CCTGGGTCTGAGGGAGGAGGGGTTGGGGCCTGGATTCCTGGGTCTGAGGGAGGAGGGGGCTGGGGCCTGGACTCCTGGGTCTGAGGGAGGAGGGGCTAGGGGCCTGGACTCCTGGGTCTGAGGGAGGAGGGGCTAGGGGCCTAGGCTCCTGGTTCCTGAGGAAAGAGGGAGTTGGTGGGTACACACGTTTGTCTCACCGTTTTTGTGCTTGATTTTTTGCTGGAGATGTGGAAGGTGATCATGTCATCCCCCATGAAGATATAAGAAACACCATAACCATGGTCATCAGCCTGGAGTCAGAAAGAGTGAAGGGAAGAAAATATCTCCGGTCTCCTCCACCCCCACTAGACAGGAGTGCAGGCCCCCAGCCCCCTCTTTCCTCTAGGGGCCAGCGCGCGCCAGCTCCACTCACAGGCCCGAATCCACCGCCCGAGGAAACATAGTCCGGGTAATTGTGGACGTCAAACAGATGCATTTGCTGAACAGGGATCTGGCTGGTGGACAGCTGCCACTGCTCCGAATGGACCTGAGGACAGGAGCCCATCACATGTGCAGGACAGAGATCTGCAGTTCCGGCCCTTGGCTCCACTTCACTCCCTGCATCCCTGGCTCTTTCTCACCCCTAAATCCCGGGCCTCCTTCTCCCTGACCACACCCTTCTCCTGGCCATGCCCTATCTGGCCACGCCCCTCATCTTCTCACCAACCACGTCCCTTTCCCCTTCTCCCTCGGACCACGCCCCTCCTCTGACCACGCCCTTTCCTCCTAGCCCCACCCCACTGACCCTTTCCTCTTTTGTCTGCTCCAGTTGCCTGGTTGCATCTCCGCCTTCTGCCTTTCTTCCCCCGCCCTCCAGCGCTCTAACTGACTTCTCTGCTGATGCGTCCTTTCTCAACATCACCCTTTTTTTTTTCGAGACAGAGTCTCACTCTGTCGCCCAGGCTGGAGTGCAGTGGTGCGATCTCAGCTCACTGCAACCTCCGCCTCCCGGGTTCAAGGGATTCTCCTGCCTCAGCCCTCCCAAGTAGCTGGGATTACAGGTGTCTGTCACCATGCCCAGCTAATTTTTGTATTTTTGGTAGAGATGGAATTTCACCATGTTGGCCAGGCTGGCCTCGAACTGTTGACCTCAAGTGATCCGCCCACCTCGGCTTCCCAAAGTGCTGGGATTACAGGCGTGAGCCACCGCGCCCGGCCTTGATGGGTCCTTTTTCAACATCACCCTCCTTCCCTGAAGCCTCTCCCTTCTTCCATGGTCTCCCATTTCCCTCTCTAACCCTTTCCCTGTGCCCCAACCTGGGTCAGGAAGGGCGACTGCAGGTGGAGGAATCGGGACACGACGTAGAGTGCAAAGAGGTGGCGGTCGACTCCCTGCCCGCTCATGGCTGCCTTCAGCAGAGCCTGGTGCTTGTCCACTGCCACGCGAAACAGGGCAAGGCACTGTGGGTCCTGGGGTCCCCAGGGAGGTCACAGGTCATGGAAAGACAGGAAGTCGACTTACTGCTGGGCCTGCGGCACACCTGGCCTCAACCAAGCTTGCCGCATCCCTGCAAGGTGGGAATATCAACCCCATTTTACAGATGGGGAACTGAGGCTTAAAGAGGGGAAATCATGTGCCCAGGTTCACACAGCCAGGGACAGCCAGGTGGGTTTCTAGGTGTATCTGGCCCCAGAGCCCAAACTCCTCCCATGGAACCACAATACCTTGTAGGTGCGGGAGTAGGTGTGGGGCAAGGGAGCAGAAGTGAGGGGTGGGTGGGATCTGGGCAGAGGGGGGTGCGGGGAATGGTGCAAAGGAAGGTCATAAGGTCACATAGAGGTTAAATGGGCAGAGTTACATTGTAAAAATGGAGTTCCGGCCAGGCCCATCGGCTCATGCTTGTAATCCCAGCACTTTGAGAAGCTGAGGCAGAGAGATCACCCGAGGTCAGGAGTTCGAGACCAGCCTGACCAACATGGTAAAACCCCGTCTCTACTAAAAAAAAAAAAAAAAAAAAATTAGCTGGGCATGGTGGCGGGCACCTGTAATTCCAGCTACTCGGGAGGCTGAGGCACGAGAATTGCTTGAACCTGAGAGGCAGAGGTTGCAGTGAGCCAAGACTGTGCCACTGCACTCCAGCCTGGGTGACAGAGCAAGACTCCATCTCAAAAATAAATAAATAAATAAATGGGGTTCCTTCTTGGGTGCTCCCCCAGTGCCCTGTGAGACCACCATGAAAGCAGATATCACACTATGCTGGGCTGTCTCCCCCAAGGGTGAGCTCTTTGAAGTCAGAGGCCAGGTCTGATTCATCCCTTGTCCCTCGTGCCCCTCATGGAGACTGGCTTCAGTAGGTCCCATCAATGTTTGCAAGTGGATGAGTGAGTACCCGGAAATGACTGAAGCCTCAAGCGAGGCTTGCACCCACCGTCTTCTCTTTGTCCTCCATGGCCCTCACAAAGTTGCAGGCCTCCCTTGTGCAAGATCGCACCGTCTCCGTCCGGCCTTCCAGGAATAAGCGAGTCATGGCCGACTCATAAGTCAGGCAGAATTGACCCCTGTCCTGGGGGACAAGGAGGAAAAGAGGAGTCTGTCAGCAGGGCTCAGGAAATCTTACAGACGTGACCCATCTCTGTCCAGACCTCCAGCGTCCTCCAGCCAGCCCAAGAATGGTTGGGAGAGAGAATTCAAGATGGCCGACCCACAATGGCAACGACCACAGGGAACTATGGAGGGGCAGGTCCTGGGGGCTCAGGTGGACTGAGACCCTGAGGGGGCTGTGGTTGGGGAACCCAGCTGACCCGGAAGTGGGCCAGTTGCAAGGCGATCTGGATGAAGCTGTCTGAAGAGAGGTGGCAGCGTCGGATGAAGCTCTTGCCAAATAGGGAGAATGGAAAGACATGGCAGTCGACATTTTCAGACAAGATCTTGGCTCCCCTCAGGGCTAGAGAGATGGAGGAGTGGATCTGCCAGAGGAGGAGGGAAGAGGAGTAGTTGGGGTTACAGATGGGGGTAGGGTGAAAGCCAGGAATGAGGCTGGAAGCGAAGGTGGACGTGGAGTTAGGGTTGCGGCAGAATACGGAAATGGGGACAAAGAACAGAAGAGAATTGAAGGATGAGACTAAAGATGGGGATAGGGGCTGAACATGGTGGCGCACGCCTGTAATCCCAGCACTTTGGGAGGACGAGGCGGGTGGATCACCTGAGGTCAGGAGTTTGAGACCAGCCTGGCCAACATGGTGAAACCTCATGTCTATTAAAAATACAAAAAATTAGCCAGACGTGGTGGCAGGCACCTGTAATCCCAGCTCCTTGGGAGGCTGAGGCAAGAGAATCGCTTGAACCCAGGAGGCGGAGCTTGCAGTGAGCCGAGATCGCGCCATTGCACTCCAGCCTGGGTGACAGAGCCGGACTCCGTCTCAAAAAAAAAAAAAAAAAAAAAGATGGGGATAGGCATGGCAGTGCAGACTGGAACAGGATTGGGGTTGGGCCACAGCTGAAGCTGGGGTTGGGAATGGAGGAGGGACTGAGAGTGGTTTGGGAATGGAATGGGGAAGGGGCTGGATATGGAAAGTGAATTGGAGTTGGGCATGGGTTGTGGTTGGAGGTGGGGTCATGACTGAGTACAGGATGGGGTTGGGGTTGGGGTTGGGTATGGGGTGGAGTTAGGATGAACATGGGAGTGAATTCAGGTGTGGTGGTGGTGTTGGGATGGGATTGGGCATGGAGTGGGGGTTGGTGCTGGGGTTGGACAGTGGTGAGTTTTGAGTCTGAAGCGAGTAGAGATGGGGCTGGGGTTGAGGATGGGATTGGCAATGGGAGGAGGGTTGGAGTTGGGGCTGGGGATGAGGTTCGTTTTGGGGTTTGAGGTTGTAGATGCATTTGGCCTGATTTGGAGGTGGGGGAAGTGTGGGTTTCGGGTTGGGGGTAGAAATGGGGTTGATTTTCAGATTGAGATTGGGGGTGGGGATGAGTTTGGAGTCAAGGCTAGGAATCTTGGGACTTGGAGGAGAGGCCCAGAAACCCAGCCTCACCTGGTCTGGAAGGTCCCATTGCAGTCGCTGGGGCCGGGGTAGTGTGGGGTCCGGGTGCCCCTTGCAGTGGCCATCTGTTGAGTAGCCCAGCTGAAAGCATTCTGTAGCCAGAGTGAACTGTGGACAAACAGAGGCTGTCAGAGACCCTTCCTCCCTGTGGACTGAGGCCATCTAACCGGGACCTCTTTTCATACGGCCCTTTTTGGGGTAGGGGGAAGTCTCTGAGAAACAGAAACCTCTGATGTTCATAGATGGGGTCTCGGGTTCATGTTCCTCAAGAACAGGACTAATACCAATACTCAACCGGCGTTTACTGTCCCTGTACTTCTTTTCTTTTCTTTTTGACAGGGTCTTGCTCTGTCACCCGGGCTGGTGTGCAGTGGTGAAATTATAACTCACTGCAGCCTCGAACTCCTGGGCTCAAGCTATCCTCCGGAGTAGCTGGGACCACAGGCATGTACCATCATGCCTGGCTAGTTTTTTTTTTTTTTTTTTTTAATGTTTTTTGTAGACAGGGTCTCATTTATGTTGCCCAGGCTGGTCTCAAACTCCTGGGCTTAAGTGATCCTTCTGCCTTGACCTCCCAAAGTGCTGGGATTATAGGCATGAGCCACTGCGCCCAGCCCGGAGTCGTCGTCTTGCTCTGTAACTCCTCGCTGTGGGACCTTGGGAAAATCACTTCCTTCTTTGAGCCCCAGTTACCAATTCATCAAAGGAAGGTCCTCACCCCAGACCCTTTCTTTGCTGGGTGACCCTGGGCCAGCCTCTGCCTCTCCCTGAGCCTCAGTTTTTCTTTCTTCTCTCTTCTTTTTTTTTTTTTTTTGGAGACGGAGTCTCGCTCTGTCGCCCAGGCTGGAGTGCAGTGGCTGGATCTC